TGGCATGGCAGAGGGGCATTGTAGACGAGAAACAGTTCACAGTGGGCAGAAGGTAGCAAAGCAGTGAAGTAGCAAGGAAGCAGCAAGCAACAAGCAACAGCAGCCCTCTTTCAGGCCCTTATATCCTACCCAGGCTACCCACCTTAGGGCAAGTAACATTCTCACCCAGGTGGGGCAGCCTTAATCCTAGCATCACCCCATGAATCAAGGCTAGCATCACACCCTTGATCCTAGCATCACATACTCTAGATCCAGCCACCTCCAAAAAGCCCCACCTATAGCCATAACACCTACCTTGCTAAAGAAAATATACTCATGTACTGTTTTACAATTTGATTTATTGAAATAGAAGAGCTTTATCTTCAAAACAATAGTTTACCTATAAATCTACTTGTTCTGTTCTTCCCCAAATACCAAACTGAACAATTACATCTACTATGCTGTAAGCTTACTTACAAACAATACTTTTGAAGGTTCCACACTATTTCATTACAATGGAGACTGTCTCCAATTGTGAAGGCAAAATATCCATAGTAATAATTGGGTTTTTACACTAATCAGTAAAATTAGGGGAAAAAATACTTCCAATTTCCATTCTCACTAATTACCCTTTTTACTATCCTGTCCTACATATAGTATATTCTTATTCTCTTAATTCTATAATATTCTAGGTCTCCTCTTTAAACAAATCTTTGGAAGTATTAATGATGACTCTGTGCCACTATACACTTTAAATGCCTAAATAATTTCAGGGCTAGAGCTAGAGCTCAGTGGTGGAGTACTTGCCTAACAAGTATAAGGTCCAGTCCAGCACTGCAAAAAAAAAGTCTAAAAAATTTTAAACAAAGAATAAACTAATACTATTTCTATCTGCACACTTTAAATGTTTTCATGTATGTGTAGATAGATATTAGCTAAAGAAAACATACTGCTAAAGGCGATGTGCTCCCTCTGTAACCAGAAGGCTGAGGCAGGAAGATCCTAAATTCAAGACCAATCTGGACAATTTAGTGAGACCCTGTCTTAAAAAGACAAAAAGGGCTGGGGGTATAGTCTAGTTGCAGACTGCCCTAACTTCAATCCCCAGGAGAAAAAGACACTGTGCTATTTCATCTTAAACATGATCATTAACAATAAGCAAAAGTTCTGCCTGATTACTGAATGCCTAAAAAGAGCCAAGCAAATGCTCATGCTTCACTAAAAATTTTAAGTCCACGTTACAGGGAAGAAACTTTGAATTCTAAAAGATATATATACTATATTAAAAACATAAACTGGGTAGTTTTCAGCAATTTTTAGGGTAGCAGATTTTCCCAGTGAGAAGATGATCTCTCTATAAAATAATTACCCATATGCAATTACACAATATAAACAAGAGACAAAACTGGAAACTAAAGAGCTGTAAAGCAGTAACACATTTGGATTGTATGTTCCTCTTGGCAATCTCCTTCCTATTGTGTTTCCAAAAAAAAGACCTCAAATCTCTCCTCTTTGCCAAGCCCCACTGACTGGTGTCCTGACTGGACAATGTTGAGCAGCAAATCCTACAGCCTGAGTCACCAGAGAGTGCAGTAATCCTAAAGGAACTGCCTTTACTCTGCTGGTGCCAGAATATTCTGCTGAGAGGCTGCTCTGCAAAGGCCTGGGTGTGGGTTCTGGCTAGCTGACTCTAAAGACCTACAGCTTCCAGAGTGCTAAGCTGCACAAAATTGTCAGAGAACATACTGGCCTTCATTTCATGAAGGGAAAAGACACCTCCTGAATGACTTTCACTCTACTTCTTCATATTCTTCCCCACCACTGCATCACCCTGGCTGGCTCGGATTACCCCTCACAGGTGTTCTCTGTCTGCAGACCTGGCAACACCCTGTGAACACAAATACACCACTTTCATAGAGATACACACAATCACACACGTACACACCCAGCCTCTCTCAAGATCATCCAATAACCGTGCACATCAAAGGCAATTATGTCAGTCGCTGCTCAAAGTTCTTTATTAGCTCCCCAAAGCACTAAGGATAAAAGGCCAAAGTCCTCAGTATTACCCTCGGGAATCCTATTATCCTCAATTACTCTCACCTGCTCAGCCTCATCTACACTGGATCCCCTTCAAAATCTATCAACAGACCCACTCTGTCCCTCACAGGTATGGGTTCTCTCTCGCACTCTAGCATTCACACATGCTATATCCCTCTGCCTGAAACACTATTTCCATTCTCTCCTTTCACCCTTCCTACAGGTCTAAGGCAGTGGTGGCAAACAGGTGAAATGCGTGCTGCAGGGGTCTGCTTGAACCACTGAAAGCTCTAAAAGGTTTGCCATCACTGGTCTAGGTTCTAGGTTAAACTGTCACTTCTTCCAAGCCACCATCCTCTACCACCACCCCAGCTAGCGTAGGTGGCCCCTCCCATGGCACCCCTGACAACTGACCACACTTGGCAGTTCACTTCTCTATGCCTCCTGCCCCAGAGCATGGCACTTGTATCCCCTTACCCACCATGGTATCAGAGGCACCAAAACATCTGTTGCATAGATATCAATGTGCCCCATGTAACACAAAACAATGTTAAAAACTGGATATGACCTGACGAAAAGAAGGCAATAATTTTGTTATAAGATACAAACTACACAGGCGTTTACCAACAGCCTTAGGAAAAGTTAAAACACACACACTAAAAAGAACAGTTCTCACCATTAGGTATTAGCTTTGCACTTATTATTCCTGTTGGGCAAGTTGAAGTTCACAGAAAATTTCAAAAAGAAGCCTTTGCTGCTTGCAGGTCAAGCAAAGCATCACTGGAACTTCTGCTATTTGCTACTACCAAACTCTCTTGGCCTTACTCAGAACTAGCTAGCTGAAGGCAAACAGGCTATTCCATTTCCTTAGTTTCTAAACCCTGATGTAAGTCTTTTGATAAGGATTCCACTCATAATAGTCACAATGACATAAGCATGTTGCCAGGAAACAGACCTCTGTCACTTCAGGCCACATATTTTACAATCTGAAGCTTGTGACACCATATATTTCCAAGGCAGCAGACTGATGTCATAAATATGACGGTTCCAAGCACTCTGGAGAACTCAGCAGCTCCACCCTATACTCAAATAGTCCTTCCTCTTTAAGCCTCAGTTTCCCCATCTAGTAATAAAGAGATGGTTCCCACCACATAAGGTTTTTTGAGGAACTAGACTGCCCAGAAAAGCGCTTCACATGCAACCCAACTTATTTTCAAGTCAAAATGAAGGAAGACTAAACTAGGCGCCTAAAATATTTTCACATCTTCTGGATTTGTGGTAAAACCATAACTTATGCTTCACTAATGTCCTTTCACTGCGAAGTTTCTGAAAAAGAAAATGAGAATCCACTTCACCATAACCTTTGGAATTAACAAATTCTACAGAAATCTACACTAAGAATCACTTTATGTTTCTCTGCACTCCTAAAATCGTAAAATTTCTACGCTCTGGCATAATTTCTATGCCATCCTCCTGCATAGAAGACGGCAAAGAGAAAATACCTAGTACTTTTTCCCCCCGAAAAAGTTCTCACCAAAAACAATCCTTTCCTCCTTACCTCTAGTACCTCCAAATATACTCGTTTAAGAAAACAACCAAAAAAAGGGCTCGATGACAGAAGTTAGTCCTTGTCAAGGCCTCCTGTTTGCTCAATACAGAACTAGTCATGAGGCCCGATGAAAGCACCTGTTAGGCAGCGATTCATTAACTCCACCGTGCTCCAAGGACAATTCAAATTTTAAAAGGGGTGGGGGCTCCCCTCACATTTTGCGGCCCTAACACAGGACAGCCAAGTAACGACACACACTGCCCACTGTGAACATTTTTATCTTTTTTTTTTTTTTTTTAGATGCGGAAAGAGGAATTTGAGAACCAGTTGAGGAAACTGGCTCTCACACTCCCCAAGCCAAGCTGACTTAAGGTCTGGTTGGTTGTTTTCCGCGTTTCTTTTGTTTTGTGTTTGACAAGGGAATTTCAGAGACCTCCTGGGAATGTGTTTTAAATCAAGGTGAGACCTCAAGATAACTCGGCTAACTTCACGGTAGCCTGGGTTCCCAACTCCGGTTTTGAGAAGCGGGTGACGTGGGAACAGCTTCCTAAAAGCAAATGGGGCACTGGGATATAATTTAGGAAGTGATGATGCAAGTCTCTGGGGAGCAGGGAGGAGGGGAGGTGAAAAAGTCAGAGGAAATACCCTTCTGGTGGCTGGACACCAACTCATACCACAGGCCAAAAGGAAGGGGGAGCCCTGCTCCAACCTGGAGGTGCCAACGCCGCCCCTCCATCCCTCCCCCGCGGCCCTGCCCCCACCCGCGGCCGTCGCCCCAAAGCCCGGGCCGGCCGGTCGCAGAGGGTGGC